AAACCCAAAGTGGGATTGGGAAAAAAGCAACATAGATTTCTAGTTCTTAAAGTATTACAAAAAAAACAAATTTAAAAATTACCGTCTGTGTGTAAATTTTCTTATCCCAGCTGCTGATTAATGACATTTCCTGACATTCAGTTCTGCAGTGATTACCAATATTTACTTATTGTAGATGTATGTGAACATTCTGAACACTCTGATGCATTTTAATGCATACCAGTACTACAATCTAGAAATTATTTTTTGAAAGAGAGGCCAAGGGAACCTTTTACTGTGACAGAAATGCTAATTATACTCACTTATTAAAACAGCACAATTAATTTGTGCCACCAAAAGTATTTGAAGATATCTCTGGTAATAGAAGCTAGTGGAAATGGGGTACTATTTTATTTTTGTTACTTCATAAAGGCTCTTCTGTGCACTGAACACAGATAAAACTGTGTGAATGGAAGAAGTACTAATCAGCATTTTTATACCTCAGCAGAAGGTCCTGGATAGAAAAAATGCCAGAATAATAGCTCTCAGTCTGTAGGACTTTCTGTTATAACCCTGTACATTATACATAGGACCATGTACACAGCTTCCATTGCCTCTCTGGAATGGGCTCAGAATTCATCCTTTGTTCAAAGGAATTGTATCCCAGAATTTGAATTTCCATACAGAAAACATCTGGATTCTCATGTGACAGCTATTTGAGAGGCATGAGCTTCCTATACTTCCTACTGTATTTCTGCAAAGAACCCGAACCCAACTATGCCTACATAGTAGTTCATTTTTTTTTAAGAATGAAGATGAACATTGAAGGTTTTTTTGATCGTATATGCAATAATGTATATTGTAACATCCATCATAAGCAGTTCAGAAATAGTAAAGGCTGTGGTTCAGTGGAGTTATCTCAATTTACTGCCCCCATTAAGGGAAAATAAGATTCTTGGGCAGATTGCCTTACTAGCACAGCATCAGTGTCTTGGTCAGGAAATATTTCCAAAAAACACCTCCTTCAAAAAAAGAAAGAAATGAGGTGTGTGTATATATATATATATGTAATATATATATATGTATATTACATCAACTGAAGAATTGAACTAAAATTGAACTAAATTCCATAATTGAATGTATATGTCTGTGAGAGGGTGGGGATAAAGCAAATGAAGAATCAAGATATAGTACTTCAACACTGAGCAAAAGCACTCATCATTCATATTATGACAAATCATGACCTGTAATGACTTAGAACACTGTTTTCTTAAATGAACTCTTACATTCTGGAGCACCAGACAGTCATCTCAAAATATTCAATCAAATAGTAATTTGCTCTTTTTATGCAAAGAAATCCTCCAGTTGGAAACTGAACAGAGCCAACCTGGTAATTTGTGCCTGAATCTGCTCACAGCTTGAAACTAATAGCCTGAAGGAGATGAACTCAATGGTACATTAGATCCAGAGAATATATTCAGGTACACTTATGAGAAACAAAATTCACCAGGAAGAGTCAACAAAGATCCAAGTAGGTCAAATTGTACACCCCAATAAACAAATTCTCAATCACAGTCTTTTAAACAGGGGGAACTCGGGGGCCAAACCACTCTTTGTTTTATTTCCTGCAGCAAAAGAAGCAATGTTTCTTCACATTCCAGATGTGACCATAAGAGTGAGTTGAAGGTTTCTGTGCTCTTTAGATGATTACCCACAACTCCAAGAGACTACCTCTATGCATTACTTCCCTTGAATATTCTGATGCCCAGCAATTTTCCTGATGAAGGGTGACTAAAAATGACCGTAGGAGCTGCCTGGATACCTCTTCAGAAAGACAGGAAACACTGGGGAGAGAACAAAGTCTAAGGGCAGAAAAAGAGAAGACAGTTCAGTTGTCTGTGAAACAAGGAGTCATCCAGAGAGGCCTAATCTATTGCTTTGTAATCCCACCATCTATCAGCAGTGGGATCCTGACAATGTCAAAGGCAACACAGCCCTGATGTCCATCCAGGTTGCTCCATGTTACATATTCTGCATATGATGCCTTGCCAGAGATTTCCACTTCCATAAAGGCTGCACTTTTTTCTTTCAGTATGTGAAGCTTTCTCAAGAGTGTCAAAGCCAGGCTGAAGAGGCAGCTGTATGAACATTTTGCAGACATCCTCTTACAGGAAAGGTGAACAGACACAACAATTAAATGCCTTGTTTTAGAAGCAAAATTCTTCTGGGAATATTCCTAAATGGTATCAAACACTTAAATGACCTAACTTCTGGCATTCACAGATGACTTTGTCCTGGACAAATATTGGATGAGAACAGTCTGGGGCAACAAGGGAGATGTTTTGTATCCTAAGACTATTCCTGTCCAGCTTCTTTCTGTCTGGATCCCAGTATGTTCCAGCCTAATGTTGCTTGCTCAGAAACAGCACAGCTGGCCAATTAGCTCTGATATTTGGTGAGAAGGGAACAGGGAAGTATATTCCATGCTGTTAGGGCACAGTGACACTGACTACAGCCCTGAGAATGCAGCCATGGCTGCTTGGACACAGCTGGGTGATAAGAACATTTAAGTTACCTGGAAATGCACTAATACTTCTAACATGGAATGATTCAAGTAGCAGCCATGGAGGAGCAAGGACTCAAACTGGCTGTGAAAATCCAGAAGTTCTGGGATGGAGGGGATTATTTAAATGGCACTTCCAATGCCAAGACAGAGATGGCCAGGGAACCTGTCTCTGAAAATAGCTGAGGCAGAAGCACATCTCATGTGTTACAAGGTTCCCTACATTGCTATTTCCAGAGTTTTGTATGTGACTACCCTAATTTATTGTGTCCCTTCATCTCTGACAGTTTTGGAGCACTTTTTGAGGGAAGAACAACGAAGGAGGCAGGAGTAAGGTAGTTTGCAACTCAGCAGATCACAGTATTTCATTTTAAAATCTTTTCTTATAGCATCCAACCCATTAGGGTACTGAATGGAGTTTTCAGACCCTTAAAATATGTGTGTGCATGTGAGTATGTACATGAGTGTGTGTGTATATGTATGTGTGTGTATAGCGACATTAGTTTAGTAAAGAGAGTAAGAAAACGATAAAACGTAAAGAGAAGAACCTGGAAGTATTTTGACTGCAGCAAAAGACCTTTTGTATGGATTTAAACAGTTCCATTATTCAAGATTATAACAGCTCCACTGTCTTTTCTTATCCTGTTTTCTCAGGAAAGATTCCAGCTCCTCGCTCCCTCTACTGTTCTTAAATTCATTTGCATTTATTAACCCTTGCTGCATTCACTTAGCATTTCACACAACATTAAGTTGTTAATTTTCTTTAGCCTTTCCATAACCTACAGGAGAATCAGTGAAAATTAGACTTTCTTGAGTATTTTTGTCCTTACAAAGAGAGAAAAAATATAGATTAACAGACAACAGAAAGAGTAAAAGTGTGAAATTAATTCTGAAACAGCATTTTGTACTTTGTTGGTAGGTAAAGGGGAGGCCTTGGTGTTGAGAAAGGAGGAAGATTTTGTTTGCAACACTTTCAATGCATGGTTCATGGGCAAAGGAGAGTTGCACTAAGATGTCCCTTTCATGAGTCTCTGCCTGCCACTCTCTCTAGCAAATACACAAACTCTCAACATATACACACACTGATTACTTCAAGCATTTGAAAAAAAAGAAGTGAATGAGAACAAGATTCTCCTGGTCATCTCCCCATTTCATGGGATTCCCTGAAGGCACAATAATAACCCACAGTTTCTGTTCATCTCATCTTATGTTTCAATAAAAGAAAGAGAACAAAGGGGAGACTGGATTAATATGTTATTAAAAACAAAAAAAAAAGGAAAGAGAGATAAGTTAATTCCCCTTAAAGCAATTAACTTTTTGTTTCTCCTTCATAACTGCAGTTTTACTATTTGTGTTACATTACTCATGGCCACAACTGAAGAATAGGAAAGGCATAAACAACTGTGAAAATGAAGTAAAAGCTCTATTCCCAGGGTTTTGGGTTTTTTCCTACGACAATTTTGCATTGATTTAAAACTGAACCTTCTAGAAACATCACAGACTCCAAACAAACAAAAACATTCAAATATCAAAGTGAAGCTGATGAGATTCTCCCAGCTTGCCCCACCTTCAAAAAAGCAAAAATTTAAAACAGAAAGAATCAACCATGCCAGTTGTCATGTCATAATTTGTATTATATTGAATAATTGGCATCACTTATACTAAATGACAGACATTCACTGAAAAGTCTTGTTCTATGGATAATTTACAAACCAAAATATTTTAACTGGGACAAAGGAAACCTAATGAGAAAAAAAAAATAGATAAAAAATCTATTTCAGACCAACCCATGGAAATGAACCATCTTTACCTGCAAATCTAATGATTTACCACGAATTCTACAAAAGCATCATGAGAGCTCAGTCACTGCATAATAAAAAGTTGTGCTTCAACTCTGTTTCACAAGGATGTCAAGTAAAAATTGGACATTTATGACAATTATTTTAGCACATCACCCATTCAATTCACTTTAAAAGGCAGAATCTTCTCAATATTCTTCCCCAAGATATCACACTTGACTCCTAGATGTTGACCCACCTTTCTACACTGGAAACACTGGTTCTTGTCAGTCTATGTGTTTATGTTGACATATTCATTGACATGTTTTAAAACAGAGAAAAAATGGTTACTCAATATAATTAATTTCTGTTGAATGCCCATTTTTTGATTATTAAAAAATGCAGGTTCAGAGGTCATAAATTTTGAAATTATTCTGTAACTCATGTTTGTTTCATTATTTTCTACATAATTACAATGTATAAATATCTGCTAAAGTTCAGGAATGTTGAATTATTTGCTTGTAGAATAAAGATATAAAGTCTCAATTCTTCCACTGAGTTAGCACATACCAGGAACAGAAATCAGATGCACAATGAGTGTTTCTACCACAACATTTTTGTTCCTAATTCTTCATTATTTGCCACAAGCCTTTATTAAATGCTTTATCGTGCAGACTTACAGTGCTGTCAATGTATGCTTCAGTCCACACTACATCATGTTCTTGGTCAATAACCTTTGGTCGGCTGAGAACATGAAGATATTCCATAACATTCTCTTGCACATCAGCTAAGGTAGAGATCTGAGTAAAAAACCCTGTGAAAACACAGTTCAAAGATTTAAATCAGAGAGAACAAACTAAGGAAGACTGCAATAAGGAGTATGATATGGTTTATGTCTGTCATGTTTTCTGCTTATTTATTTCCAAAAAAGAATTTCACAAGAAGCACCCTCAAACAATAATAATTGGTGAAAGCAGAAGTCTGTGAAACCTTTGGCCAGTCCTCAAGGACAGTGTTTCTATTGCTATGAATCCCTGCACTGTCTGTACTAAACCTCTATTTCCAGAACTATTGTTGTTTAATGGTTTGGGGCTTTTTTTAATGCTGCATACTTTAAAATTTAGAACTGGTATTATCTTTGTCCAAAAATGTCTCATCCAGTTTGTCCAGTTTCAAAAAACATGATGGATTAGAACTACAGCAACAGAACAGTAGTTGCATATTCTCTAAAACACTCATCCACACACAGTGTGACTGGAAAAAAAAAAAGCAATATGTTATTTACAAATATGGCAGGTCATAGAAAATGTAGATTTCAACTAGAATTGCTTGGTTTAGTGATCACAGCTTTGTTAATCCTTTAAAACGTCTCCTGCAACCTGACAGCACTGAGAACAGCAGAGGCCTCAGCTATCTGAGCTGTCACCACTTCCTTTTCAGTGCTTGGATGTCAAGTATCTTTATACACCATAAACTTGGCATCTGGAGCCCACATCATGCAAAGGTGATGAGGGACTGACAAATTTCAAGGCTACAGTTTCATCAGGCCTTATTTAAATGCATCACTTCCCCTCATACACTTTCCATTAATGAGAAAAGACCAATCTGAAAGAGGTCTCTTTAAAACTTTAATCATTTGACAAGATCACAGCATCTCTGGACCTGGAATCTTAAGCTTTATTAAGCTTAAGCAGAAAACATGGTAACTGCAAAGAAATTTTGAGCTGTGTTTGTCCAGACAGGGCCAGTTTTGGCAAGATTGTAAGGTTGTCCTGTAGTCTGGATGCCAGAACTTCCTTATTCTGTACACTGTTTATATTTAGACTTTTTGACAATCATGTTTCTAGCTATCTGTAGAAAATGTCAAACCTACCAAGAGTTAGCTTCCTACATTGCAAAATTTATCTCTCTTATCTAGAGATCAGAGGTACCCTATGGAATTAAAACCTTACTGTTCCTATACCGAGGTTTAATGGTTTAATCATCAGTTAAAGAGTTGCTCTGAAGTTCTTGAGCGCAGCTGCTGAGGCCATGTAAGCAATAGCAGCAAACCCATGCTTAAATTTTTGCATTCTAACACCTGCTTCTCGGCTCCCTGGTGTGTGAATTATGCCACCTCAGAGTCCCATACAGTCACCACTACCTTTTTTTGCTCCCCAGCAGGAAAAAGCTCATGAAGGAAATGGATAAGATCTGGTAATGACAAGCATGAGATATGTATAATAATGTGGTAAAAGACAGACACTTATGCTCTGCATGTGGGCTGCCTTTCCACACTCGCACTTTTTTGGATGCCTTGCTTTTCTCTAAAATGTCCACCTTTAGACTCATAACTTTTCAAGATGCCTCCCTTTGATTTTCACACGGGGCACAGCACCTCTCATTTTCGGGGCACTTCACAAAATAAATGCAACATTCTTGCAACTAATAAAATGTCGGAATTAAAAAATCCTCATTGTGCAGGGACTAAGGAGGGAATTCATTGTTTCACTGCAGCTGTAAAACTCCCATGGAGATTTCCCCCTCTCCCCCCACCTAAGAGGCCTCTGGAGCAGGTGAACAGCCTCGGTGACTGGCTGCCTGCCACCCCCCACCAGAGCCCGCAGTGCGGGAGGTGCTGGGGTCATGCTAATAATGGGAATGGATGCTTCCTGTACGGAACTCTCCTCTGCTAATACAATAGCCTATAAACTGCTCCAGCTGGGGCACAACCTGCCTCGGGGCTGATCTGTCCTCTGCTGGAGTTGGAGCCCCTCTCAGCCCTCCCATACACAAAACATTTTTCTCTACGTTGCCCTCTCAGCCTCTGCTCGTTCGTACTGATGAATCCCATCCTTTGTCCATTTTATGATATGCCAACCACAGTGAAGATTCATAGAAAAGTATTTAAAAAAAACCCAAACAAATAAGTAAAACAGAGGCTGCAATAGTGAATTTTACTGAAAAGAAAAATATTTAGTTTCAGTGGTTTTGTTAGCAAGTAATGCATTAACTCCCATCTTTATCTCTACAGCTTTCTGCGGGAAGTGACTGCTGAGGGAAAGGTAGTGCCTGCTTACTTCTAAGTTCTAGATACTACTGCTAACATCTGGCACATGCACACTAAGCACTAGGAAATTTTCACCTTTCTTGGCTTCAGAATCTTAGTAAATCTTTATTGTTTTCCTTTATGTGCACTTGCTTATGATACAGAAGGGCAAATCGCTGCAAATTCAAAAAATGCTCTAGAGGGATTTTGGGAATCTTGAATGTTTTAATGTATTTAAAATGGTTTGGTGTTTTGCTTCATTAAGCAAACTCCCTCTAGATATGCCCTACTTATACAGAAAAATGTAGCAGAAAAACATGCTTGGGGTTTTTTAAGGTTCCACCATCATAAGCTAGAAGCTAAAGAAGTTTTGCAAGGTGGTATGAATTTCCCCTGTGACCCATTTTGAAGGAAAGGACTGCTGTCCACAGTCCAGTCAGCTGGAAACCCTGCAACAGCCTTCATCTATGTGCTTCCAAGGGGAAAATCACTGCAAGGAAAATTGATTTTAGGGTCATTGACCCTCAGTGACAACAACATACTTTGGCCCACCCATGCAAGGAGTAAACTGCAGTCCACGCATTCAGCCAATCTTTAGACCAGCTTTACTACACTCCTCATCTGTTGTGCTTTAATTCTTCACTTCACTAAAATAAAGTGGACAAGATGTAGCTGAAAACAGTAAGAAAAAGATCCAAATTTCGTACTGTCTGACATAGTGACTTATGCTGTTTCCAATTGTGATTTTCAAAGCTAAAAAAAAAAGTTACTGATTAGAGGTAGAAGATTTTTGCATTACAAGCTATCAGAGAGCAGGTATTGTAACTATTAAACTGAGAGGGAAATAAATTTATAGAAGTAATAGTCATTAAGCTGTTTAGTTGATTCATACGAGTAAGACTCTGACTCAAAGCAACATGGCCATGAAAAGAACAAAGTAGTCCTGAAGAATGACAAAGGTGACCACTTTTCCCCCTCTGGGAATAAGGAAGACGTGGACCAGATGATCTGCTAAGCCACTCTCCATTGCCTGGTCCTAATTTCTGAGTTGCTGTACTTAGATCCTTATGAATTTGTGGAGCTGGGCTAAAAAGTTAAAAGATTTTGTTGATTAAATTGTCTTCAAAAAAGATGCTTCAAAGGATTCTTATACTATTATTTAAACTAAATTATGGTGTAATATTAGCTGATTAAGACAAGACTTCAAACTGAGTAATTTCCATCAGCTGGACATAACAGTAGTTAAAGAAATAATGACTAAATGGATAGCACCTGATGCAATTCATCATAATGTAATGTGGCACAATAGAAAAAGAACTTTTTTTTTTTTTTCCAAGAGGAAAGGAAAAGGAAAACCTGAAGATTAATTAGGGGTTTGGGGTTTTTTTATCCCGAATCATTCTTTTATTAGTCAATCCTTTTACTGTAGCATCTCAGCATCTTAAATGTTTTAATGCTCTTCCCTTAAACGATATAAACCAGTTTTTTTCAATTACACTGTCAGTTCCTCCAGGGACAGAATGTCTGGTGTTTCACATACCATGCTTAACACAATGAGACTTGTACCCCATGCTTTTAGAAATCAAACTAACTCTTAGTAGTAACAGCCTTAATAGAACAAATGCTTCAAAATTAGTTTGTTCTCTGAACAAAAATTCAAGACCACATAGTTTAAAAGCTTCATCCATATTTTAAGAAAAAAATACATTTCAAATTGGATTCGTTTGGCTCTTTAAACTTTATGTTACAAGATACAAGTCTTTTCATTTGCTGTAAAACAGCCCAACTCATCCTCTCTCATTAGTTGCCAGTGACACCATATCTCCAGAAGGGTCAGGTATGCAGGAAGGCACAGGAATAGGGGTTTGAAAACAAGGCTTTCACAGATGAAGGTGAACTCACCTTTGTTAGCACAGGCCATCCACTTCAGGTTATCAGCAAATGCTGCTTCTCTTCCAATCAGATAGGTAAAAATACGAACCTGAAAGCACAATGCAAAAGATGAGCCAACTAATACTGCATTAAAACACATTCAGTAGAACTCCAGATACACATGTGTCGTTCATATGGATACCCTTTCTAAGAAAGTATTACTGGTTAAGCAGCACAGTATGTTAAAAAAAAGATCTCTGCCAGTAATGTCTTCTTGATAAAAATGTGGGGTTTGCTCCATGTAACAGAAGAACTGATCTTTTTGAATGTGTTTAATGTCTGACATTTAACTAGTTACGTTTAATATGTAATTGAGAATAAACTAAAACCATTGGGGTACAAAGCAAAACTGCATGTTTCAGACAAATCTGTTCTGCACTTATTAATTCAGAAAATCGCTATGAAGTGGGGAACAGGCACTTAATTAGCAAATACTGCTGTAGATAAAGGATCTGAAACACCAGGCAAGCAAATTCCCCTCAGTTTGCAAGGTTCCTGTGACACAGTATCACTGTCAACTTAGAGACAGTTACCCACAGGAAGCACTTTAATGTAATTTAATTCCTTTGCAAATAAAAAAATATTAAATTTCAATAATTTTTTCCATTAATATTTTTCCTCGTTCACAAAATCAATTATTTGTAGAATAAACAACTTTATACTAAGTTCCCATAGGGCTTTTTTTTTTTTCCTCACAGAAGTGTTTTTAAAATACTTTGAAAGTTTCCCTCTTCTCTCACTGCCCTTTTGTCCATTTTCTTAATGGCCACATCCTGTTCTAAGCACAGATGATGTTTTGCCTTATTATCATGCCTAGAGATCATCAATCATAAAAATCTTCCCATTCTTTTAAACATAAATGTACACAGAACTCAGTCATGATTTACACACTGGTTGTGTAGTGTTGCAAGTTTGAATCCAACAGTATCTATAATCCCACTCTAAGACTCCAAAGAACACAGTGTTAAACAAAAGAATGGTACTTTTGTACTTTGTTGATGCCTATGAAAAGCATTAATAAAGAAAAGCTTTATTCTACAAAGACTCGTGAAAGTGTACAGTGAGATTTACACTCTCAAAATGCAGCATAAATCACTGTCACAGTTTATCTTCCTGAAAATGATGCTCAAATACAGCCTATGGGGAGACTAAATACATCTGAGAGATTTATATTTAATGATCTGCTTTAATCTATAAAGAATCAAACTAGACTGTGTTCTTAATAAAAGGAGACCAGCCTTATCTAAATGGATGAGCAGTAAGCATGATAACAGGCATAAGCAGCACAATAACTCCATGGAACATACAAAAAATAAAATTTCAACAAATCAGTAACATGGATCATCATGAGGAGTGGGCTGCCTCTGCAATACTGCTGCAAAGATTTAAATGATTTTTCTCTGACTATATTTTCTACATCTAGTTGACTTGGTATCTGAAGTTTTGCTAGAAAATATTTAAAGCATCATAAAAAATGCTGCTAATTATTTGTCATTACTTGAAAAAATAAAATAAATCTATAAGACAGAGAGCTAGAACTGAAAATGAGTTTATTAAATGTTGCTTTCCTTTCCTGTTCCCAGTCATTGTGCATTTTTCCCTATATATTTTTCATGGTGCACGTAATACAAATGACACTTACCAGTGTCAGCATGAAATAAAAAGCCTTTTATATAGTAAGTTACACTATAATTTTAAAATACCATTTCTATATTGTTCAATACTTAGAATACTTTATTATTCATAGTAGCTTTGTAAGAAAATAACCATGAGAGGGTCACAGAAAGGCATTTTTTAGTTAAAAATGCCACTGTTACATTAAAGTTTTCCTTCTACGTTGGCCTTAAAGACACATTAATAGGTACTGTGAAAATTATTTAATACTCCCTTCAGAATAGCAAGAAAAATCCTCAAAATCAGCTCTGATGAAAAACAATTCTGATTATTTCTCTACTTCTAAAAGTTTCATTTGATCAGTTCATGGGACCCATTAGGTAAACTTAATTCATTGTGACCTTGAAGTGAAAAACACAGCAGAAATAATTTTACAAAACAAAGGCTTGCCATATTATTTTCTGCTTTCAGAAATCACAACGATGACTTAGGTAATAAATCAGTCAAACTAAAACTTGTACAAATAAGACTACATTCTAAGTCCCATTTTTAAAGACAACCTTGGTTCCACACACCTCTTACACTAGTTTTACTCTCCTGGATAGGTATTCTGTGTGAGAATTCTCTGTGTGCTGTACCATCCATGGTATAATACCAATAAACAGAAAAAAAGTCACTGTATCTATAGATGTGTGTCCTGCATATACATAAAAATATAAGTCAATATTACAGAAGCACTACATTAATTTAGCAGGGTAAGTTCCAGCTACTTCTGCACATGGATAAGACCTGTGCAGTGATGGGCTCCACATGGTGCAAAACAGGACACACTGATCGTAGTGACCACTGAAATTTTCATTGTACATTGACTAGACATTAGATGCCAGATTTAATATCCATCCACATGCCCAGATACCATGTAAGATATACACTGGAAGGTAAAAGTTTTTATAGTTACTCCCATTTTTTCTTCTTTGTGTACATGAAACAACTGAATGGGATGTGCATCAAATCAGTTCTGCTCTGAAAAATGGTTGCATGAAATGTTTATTTTACCCAAACAACCCAGATTTAGCACTAATATTGTATAGTCCGCTGAAAAATATATATAGCACTGAGGCAGATGATTGAAATCTCTGTAATTAATAATAGATGAAATATTAGGTGTGTCTCTCCATTGTTTGTATTGGACCTTAAAGAAAATAATGCAATAGAAACTAGGAGCTTTCAGAGGTATATACACTACACACATACACACTGATACACCTATATTGGTATGTTATGGTACAACATAATGTTAGGACAGCAGGAATTCTTTTGAATCCATATGGAGAGAATGTTTTAGTCAAGGCAGACTGAAAAAATTCAAAGTTATTATGGGTCAGTCCCAGAAGATCCAGTAACAACATTTACATAGTCTACATGTGCTCTGGTTAATGGAGTGGAAGCCAAATGAGAAAAACACCTTTGAATATCCAAGTGCTGTGACTGAATCAAGAGACCATTTTCATCAGAGAAGGAATCTGCATCAGAGGATGTAAGTATCTCTCTGGCAAAAAACATATGACAAAAAAGAGCCCTTCAGTTCTGGATAATTTTGAAAGCTTTGCAAGATACTTGAGAAACCTGAATCAAAATATTTTCCGTGTCTGACCTGTCAAATATGATATCAACTATATTAAGGCTTATCATGACCTGTTAGCTGTGGAGAGAGAAAATATTCTCAGGCAGAAGCACTAGTCTTGAATTTTTATATCAATCTACAAAACTGAAAATTGTAGATGTCAGATTCAACTGAACGAAAAGCAAAATTTATTCTAAGAGCAAAAACCTTAATCTTTGCAACTACACTTGCTGTTTCTGCACAGTAGGTATCTCCTGCAGATGTGCCATAGACTCCTAGTTTTCAAGCCAATGTTCACAGAAAATGGAGTGAGGGTTCCATAGTAATATTAAGGAAACTGAAAGGACAATGGAACTAGTAACTTTAATAGAGCTCGTGACTTTCTCACTTCATATTTTTCTACGTTTTTCTAAAGCAAGTGTTGAATAGCAAAGAATACCACTTGAGATTGATGTATTTTAATTATCTTTAAAACAGCAGCTGTGGAAACCTCCCATATATTAGCTACTTATTATGCCTCATTCCGGACCTAGAAGGGTCACCTCTGGAAAACAGCATTCCATTCACTTACCTTTCTTACTGAAAGATTGCTGCAGAAGCTCAAATGATTCTGAACTGTGGAATCAAATTCATATTACACAACTAACTAATTTCAAGAGTGCATTTTATGATGGTCAGCTTCTCTGAGCAAGACTGTGGATTCTGGTCCAAACCACTAGTCTGTAGTAAACTAGTGGTAAGAAGCACAGCACGCCAACAGCTGTCACAAGTTGTATTGGCAACTACTCCCATGTATGCAGCAGAATTAATTAATATTAAGGCATTGAACCACCAAGTTCAGTAGTTCAGACAAAATTGAACACAAATCTTACACTGAGTAAAATACCTAAATCAAAAGCAGATATTTAACTGCATACGTTATCACCATTTTTAACCTGTTTGCTCACTGGTTTTCCAGTCTCTGGTTTTTCACATTCTTGTTACCTTACCTAGGCACAGATCATGATTTGGACTAAACAGGTAATTGCATCCCCTCAAATTCTGGAAAATAAGACAGTACTGATAATAAGTTTCTTGCTTTTACAGCCAGGGAATATTCTGAAGTTTGAACCTTTAGACTCTGGACAGAAGGTTTATATAAAATCTCAGAGATGCATACACTCAACCATTAGCAAGGAAACCTAAGAATGATGACTTAAATGACAGCTATTTCAGTGCTAAACACTTCATGTGAAATATCCACTTAGCAGTTCCATCCATTATGCATGGGCTAATCTGCAGTCCCTGAACTGTCCTCACCTCTGCAACTTCATTAAATTCACAGCACAGTGAAGAGAACAGGGACCTTCTTCCATCTATGTTAAGCAAGACGAGTCAGTCTGCAAGATTCTACACACTGGAACTGTGAAGTCATATCTTCATGCCAAACAGCTGGTAAAACAGTATTTCCAGAAACTTAAAATACCGTGTGGGAGGGGAAATGGGACTTCTTATTGCAGCTGACAGTGCAAACCTCTGTTTGCAGCTGCAGACTATTTCATGGACACCTTCAGCAAAATAGTCTTTCCTTTCTGGCTCAGCAAGAAATAAAAATAGTCCTGTGGCAAGAGCTATGGAATTTAAGTTTTAAGTGGGATACAGGGATGAAATTCAAGTTCCCACAGTTACAAGCCATGGTGGTCCAGGAAAGCCTCAGGTAGTCCTCGCATAGATGAGCAACATGGACTGATTTGGAACAATGGATTGATGTGAGACTCAGTGATTGCCTGCACTCCTAAGGAGCCTCACCCAAAAGAATTAATTTAACTGTT